GGCTGACCAAGGTAGATGGTGCCATTCCATGCCTGATCCCGCAGCTCTGTAGCAATTCATGATCCACCAGTACATGGATGGCACATGACATCACATAAGCTCTGAGTTGTGTACGATCCGGGCTCAGCATCAGAAATGCCACTGCCAGACGCCCACAGAGTGGGTCCCCATCACAGGCACTTTGACTGTGTGACTGCCACACTGCTCCCATCCCCCATCTTCCCAGTGTCTCCCAGGCTTCTCCCAGGTCTTCTCCTAGGTGAGAAGACCCTGGTCTCCACTCACTCCCCAAAGCCCACGGTTTTCGAGACTGGCAAGGGGGTGGCCATCATCAAGCCAATCCTGTTGAGTCTGGTTACCATGAGGCAGAACATGGAGAGTGACCTACCTAGCCCAGAATGGATTTGTTGTAGATAGGCGTGGTAGGGCTACACTGGATCCCTGCCCAGTCCCAGGTAGCAGGAGCCTAAGAGACAGGATCTGTGAAGCCAGAGTCAGACAAGGAATTAGACAGCCCCCAGGCTGGAGAAACACCTACTGACTTCTACTGTTAACTGTGGGAAGCTGTGCAGGGCACAGAATCTCCAAGTTCCTGATTCCATCGCTGCAAAGGCAGTAATGATGGCTCCCAGCATCCGCTCAGTCCTTATGGCTTGCTGAGTGCTATTCTGAGGGCTCCTTTACTCTGGCAGCCACTCTACAGGACAGGTGCAGCTATGAAGCCTATTCTCACATGGAAAAGAGGGTAGCATGGGAACCAGTGACATTCCCTTATTTTTCCGTTTTCTGTGGTGGGGGTGAAAGTGCATTTCAAGGTGTATGAAGCACAATCAAAAGCTCAGAGACAAAAATTGGAGTTCAACCTAAAGGTCAGAAAGGCAAAACAGCCAGCCACCGGTTCTTACCTCTACCTCAGTCCGAAATGGCGATCCTGCTCCAGTAATCTCAGAATGAGATTGAGACTGAGAGCTGTCTCCTCTCGTTTATATTCCTCTCTAGTGTTGGGATTAAGGGCGTGCATCACTATCGCCTGGTTTCTATGGCAAACCAGTGTGGCTACTGGGATTAAATGGTGTGTGTCATTGTGGCTACTGGGATTAAAGGTATATGGCATTGCTGCCTGGTCTGTAAGGTTGGCCAGTGTGGCTATTTTACTTTCTCGACCCCCAGGCAAGCTTTATTTATTAAAATACAACTGCAATGCCACTACAGGTGTGTGTATGGAGGGTGGAGGACAAGCTTGTCAAGTCAGGTCTCTCATTCACCCTTACACAGGTTCCAGGGGCTGAACTCAGGTGGCCAGGTTTGTACCGCAAGCACCTTTGCTCTCTGCGTTATCTCACCGTCCCTCCCCCTAAACTCTAACTTATTACCTCTGGAGAGCAGACGTATCTGTCCTCGGTGGAGATACCCAAAAATGCCTCCAGTGTTCTCAACTCTGGACCAGAGAACAAGAGCCACGAAATCGGCTGACCACTCCTGTAGTTGAACCTGAACCGGGTCAAAGAACTGGGCAGTTCCAAACACAGCCTCCTGCACACTGCCTATCCCAGATCATTTCTTGACTAACAGGAGTCCCTGGGAGGGTAGGCTGGGGAGGGGCGGGAGAGGAATGCTCCTCCTACTTTGGGACTCCAGTAGTGCTGTCCCAGCTCAGGCTTGAGTACCCAGAGGGTTCAGCCAGGTCTCCATCTGATTAGAGACTGGGGAAGCAATGGGGTGCGTGTAGACTGCATGGAAGAGAAATGGTCACTTCTAGGAAGGTTGCCCCACAAGGGCAGTTGGTAGCCCTTTCCTCCAGACCACCTTGTGCTCAGCCTTGTCTCCAATCCTGGAGCCAGAGGTCTCCTGCAGCCAGTGTGGAGCCTATTCTGTTAATCCCACACTTGGCGTCAGTATCTTCTCCCCTAGGCTCTCATGGGAACCTGAGGCAGAGAGAAACAGAGCATTGCTGGAGCGCATTAGGAAGCCATGGATCTGATGTTAGGAAAGACCCTTTACCTACCAGTAAAGGTGGGGGGAGGGGGTAGCAGTAGAGGTGTCAGAAGTGGAGGGGGGTCAGAAGTGGGGGACTCAGAAGTGGAGGGGGGTCGGAAGTGGAGGGGATCAGAAGTGGGGGGGTCAGAAGTGGAGGGGGTCAGAAGTGGAGGGAGAGTCAGAAGTGGGGGAGTCAGAAGTAGAGGGGGGGTTAGAAGTGGAGGGGGTCAGAAGTGGAAGGGGGTCAAAAGTGGGGGACTCAGAAGTAGAGGGAGAGTCAGAAGTGGGGGAGAGTCAGAAGTGGAGGCGGGGTTAGAAGTGAAGTCAGATGCAGCCCTCTCACACTTGCATAGGCCCCAGAAGGAATCGGCACTATCCACTATTTTCAAAGAGCACGACATAGGATGTGGACAGACTTTGATGCCTTTTGAATACTGAGCTATGTGACTACAGGACCCATGCTAACTGTCACTTAAAGTTCCCTCCAGGAGCAAGATGGCTCAGCCAGTAAAGACACTTCTTGCCAAGTCCGACAACCCGACTTTAATCTCCAGGTCCCACACGATGGGAGAGAAGTAACTCCCACAATTTGTCCTCTGGCCTTCACAGACATACAACACAAATCTAATTTTGTGTGTGTGTATGTGTTTCCCCCAAAGCCTCTGATAGCCTCCCTAGACTGTTTCCTTCCTGTATATCAGGAACAGGCTGAATAAGGCCTCAGTTCAAAACAACTCATACCTACTCCTCCTCAAATGTGCTGACGCGGTGTTTAGATGTGGGACCTTAGGAAAATGGTTAGACATGGAGACAGAGTCCTCGTGAATGGTACTGGGGCCCTAGAAGGGCCTAGGGACCACATCTCCCCTCTCACTATGAGAGCACAGCTACAGAGCACTGTATGTGAACCAGAGCTCCAGAGCTGTGAGGGTAACTTGTGCTGTCTGCAGCCCTAGTTCATAGCGTCTGGAAGGTCTTGTGGCTGCTCTTGGTTGTCAACTTGACGATGCCTGGAACTAAATGGAATATAAAAACGGAGGGCACACTGTGAGGAATTTTTGCTTCTTTTGAAAAGGATGGATCCACTTCTAGTCCAGATTTCCAAGGAAGACACACACCTTTAACCTGGGCCACCCCTGCTGGGAGCCTGTATGAGGGCATGGAAGGCAGAATGCTCTTTGCCTGCTTGCTCCTACCTTGCTAGCCCAGCCCTTCACTGGCATTAGAGCCTACTTCTTGGAAATTCCAGCGTCTACTGAAGGCCAGCTGAGACGTCAGCTGAGCAACTTCTGGATCCTTGGGCCTCTGGTTTAGCCATTGTGTGATTAGCAGGATCACAGCCTATGGGTCCTTCTAATAAACCTTTTCCTATAGAGAGAGATTCGTTCTACAAGTTGTGTTTCTCTAGAGAACCCCGACTAACGCAGAAGGGCAAGATGAAAGGATTGAGCCTGTCACTACAACACTCTATCAGCACCCCCAACTTTGGAGTGTTTTTTTATAGCAGCCCAAACTCAATCCCTTTCAGCTGGCTCCAGAAGTCTATGATTTGAGTTTCCCAGCTGGATTCTAAAATCCAAGAGAGGAAAAGAGATAGAACATTCCGTTTAAATTTTTTTCCCCATGGCAAACTATTGATTTTATTTATTTTTTATTTTAAATTTTTATTTAATTTTTTTAATTTAATTTGGGTTTTTATTGAGCTATATATTTTTCTCCACTCACCTCCCTTCCTTCACCTTCCCCTTCTACCCTCTCCCATGATCCCCACGCTCCCAATTTACTCAGGAGATCTTGTCTTTTTCTACTTCCCATGTAGATTAGATTGTTTTAATTTTTTAATTTAAATATATTTATTTATTAAGAGGCAGGTTCTCACTATGTAGCCCTGGCTGGTCTAAACCTCACTTTGTAAACCAGATTGGTCTTAAATTCAGAGATCTATCTGCCTCTGCCTTCTGAGTACTGGGATTAAATAGGAATGCCACTATGCCTGCCAAATACCAGTCCCCACTTTTTTTTTCTATACTGGGGACTGATCCCAGGGTCACACGCATGCTAAATGAGTAAATTATATGGTACTATGTGCCCAGGCCCCCAAATTCCCTTTTTAAGCACTAACCCAGGGAGATTTTACTACCCCAGCTAGAAACCACCAGTTGCAGGATTCCAGGTGTGCCAGAGACTGTGACATAAGCCTGGAAAAAACAGGAGTTGTTGACACGAGGCGGCTGTGCGCTTTTAGGAACAGATGGATCTGGTTCAAATCCTGGTTACTAGCTCTGTGTTTTTGAGCTACAGTTACTTAGTTACTCTCTAAGCCTAAACTTCTTCATATGTGTCCTAAGGTTAAGCCGACAAACAAGAGCTTCAGAAAACCGTAGCACACAGAAGCAGTCAACAGCTATCAGCTTGATGCCTCCCTCGTTTCCTCCTTCCTTCCTGGCTAAGCTCTTCTGTTCAGCTGGTTGTCTATACAGCTGCATGAAGAAAGGCCATGTGAGCTCTTTCTCCTAGCTACTCCCTTGCTACAAACCCAAGAATATCTACAGACTGTTCACTCGGGGCGGGGGGGGGGGGGGGCAGACCCCACTTAACAGTACCAGCTTACGGCTGGAGTACAGGGCATGGCTTTGTCTACACAGGAGACGAAACCCACAGTCTTTGGGGAAATGGCCCCGTGGGTCTCCAGCCTGGCAAGTGGGAAACAGGGAAGGGGTGGATAGTGAGTGTGAGCGAGTACTCCTTGAGAAGTGGCGGCAGGTGTAGGGCTGAGGGTGCTCTGGGGGAGGGATGGCGTGCAGGGCTCTATACTAGGGGCCCCACGCACCTAAAGGTCTCTGAGCCTTGCTTTCGTCACCCATAAAAATGGAGCAAACCCCACCTGCACCAAACTCCACACTGTTGGATGATTAGATACCCAAGGAGATAGTTCATAAGCACTCACTGTCCCCGTCTCCCTTTCCCACAGGAGACAGGACACAAAGGCCTCCAGAGAGACCAAGACATTCAGAGGGCTGCCCTATAAAAAACAGACTTGCAGAGATTTAATAGATGCAAAAAGACACAGGATTGTCACCAGGGTTGGTCGGATCACACAAGCTGCTCTCAAGGCACACAGAGTGGAACAAATAACAAAATGGACTTCTTCTGCGTGTGGTCGGCTGATGACTTAAAAATTTACCTAAGAGCATAAAAAGCCAACTGGTTCTTAGGGTCGTATTCCATGGCGAAGAAATGAGCAACAAAGCGGTGAGAGCGGGTAAAGGCAGCCCGCAGCTTCTCAAGACAAGAAAAATGAGGCATTTTGTTTAAACAATGAGACAGATGCCGAGAAGATCGCCTGCAGAGCCCACTGGGGGATGTGGGGCTGTAGAGGCTGTGCCAGAAGCACCACCTGGCCAAGACAGTCCCTGCCGGTACCAGGTAGTCGCCCTCCACGGAGCTCTGGGAAGAGTTGATAGCTGGATTAAGACAGGGGTGGCCCAGGTGGAAGGACAGAGGGACACAGGGCTCGCAGATACACAAGGATGTTGTAGGAAGAGAAATATCAAGACGGAGCAGAAGTCAGCCCCATCTCTTTCTATGGCTTTCTTTTTGGCTTCCTGGAGAGATAGGTGTTTGAGACCTGAGAGCAAGGGAGAGCTCCAGAGAGCATCCTAAGGGAGGGAAGACTGCTGGCCCTGAGGAAAGCCCAGTGCTGGCTGAGGGAAAGATGTAGAACATCTGGGGCCTGGAAACAACTCCAGCAGGACTCAGGCAGCTGAGCCCAGACCTGAGAGAGTCAAAAGAACACAATAAAAAAGAAAAAAGCCAAAAAGAGAGGAACGGATGTGACCCTTATGGGGCTGAGGTATCAGAAAGACAGCTACAGCCAGGTTCCAGGGCATAGTGCCAGGTGGCTGTCCTGAACAAAGGACCACACTCCCTTCCTCCATGAAAGCCCTCGGCAGGACTTGAAGGTTAAAAACCCGAACTCCAAGGAGACTTCCTAGGCCTCCCAAGGCAGCAGCTTTAATTGAAGGTGGCCACATCCCTGAAGACCTTGGCAGCTGCTTTGATGCAGAAGCTTGCAGATGTCCGTATATTCCTGCTCAGGACAGTCCATGGGCGAAGCATGTGTGGCTGTTTACCGTAATGACGAGCTTCCCGCCTACCTACCCGGGGGTTCCTCCAAGTCCTGGGTGGAACACACAATAGAGGACATGCTTGATCAGAGGGAAATAAGGTGCTGATGGTGCCTCAGGCACTTGGTGTAGACGAGGAGGCCACCGCCCCACAGGCCTCAATAGTGAAACACATTCAGTCTGTTGTTCTCATCCAGGCCCAGCTGCAGTAAGTTCGAAGTGGCTGTTGGTTTGGGCGCTGAGGAGAAGAGCTGTCTGGTCACAAAGTGAAGGAAAACTAGATGGTTGAGCACGTCCAGGTGGGTGCTAAGAACAGGTCAAAGGCCCAACAGGATGCTCCTGAGACATCAGAGGCCTGTGGCGGAGCACAGCCAGTCAGCCAGTACAACAGGAAGGGACAAGGGTTTGGGGCCAGATAAAAGGATACACCTTGGGGTCATTCTTGAAATGTTCTAGCCACTTCCGGTTAGACTCGATCATGCTCTGGACGCTGACGCTGTCCATCTTGGGGACTCGAGAATGGGAGTGCTGCAGGAGGTGGAGCTGCTCACTGGGGAGGAGGGGGAGAGCTTAGTGAGTGAGGAGAGGGAGAGCAGCCAGGAAGTGGACTGCTGTGAGGGGCAGAGTCAAGCGCCTCCCCCTCCTCCTCTCATTGGCCCACCAGCGTCCCTGTAAGGCCTCCAGCAATTCAAAAGTCCTCCTCTAGTCCCCAAAGGGAAGGTAGTGACTGCCCTCCAACCCCTTTCTGGGCACTTGATGCAGAACTACCCAGGACCTTCACATCTGTCTGTCCTCAGCCAATCCATCAGTTCAAATACTTACACGGTGCCAGCTCTCAGGCTGACCCAGAGAGCAGACAAGGATGCGGGATTTACACTTAGGGCTGGGGTGGGGAGGAGAGAATATTTGGCAGGGAATAAGATGAATAGGAAATTAATAACGGGACTAAATAATCGCCTATCTGTCTCCCCAAGGGGCGTCCCCCTACTCCAGATGTTGCTCAGCAAGCACTGGAGAAGAAGAGGCCATGGGAATCAGACAAAGATCAGCGACAAAGACGGGCCAGACCCCAGGGCTGGTGGGACCGTAGGAAGAGCTGGGTCTCCCTCAGGCTCGTGTCTCCTCACAGACCCAGCAGACAGACAACATCTGTAGAGCTAGTCGGACACGCCCCTCCCCACACCCACTGAACCTCAGCAGCAGGGTTTGACTACCACCCTCTTCAGGGAGGTCCATACACTGAGGCTCTTGACTGAGAGGCTTACCTTACAGACACATAGCCGAGCTTGTTCTCCAGTGGGGGAGGGCAGCCGCTGAGCAACGGGACACCAGCTGCAACAGCAAGGAGTGCAAGGGCAGTCGTCAGCCAGCTGAGCCAGCTGAGCCAGCATCCTTCGGCCCCCCCGCGCCCGCGCCCCCCCCCCCCCCCCCCCCCCCCCCCCCGCCTCAGCGAGCCACTCAATCCCAGAAAAGGATGCCCCCAGAACAAACAATGGCAGGCAAAGTCTCTGTGCTGAAGGTGAGAGACAGACGACAGACAAGAACTGTCCTATTTACTATGATGCTAAAAACCTAATTTTCAGTTTGGGCTGGGGCAGAAAATGTTGTTCCCTCAAATGGCTGCCTTTATGACTTGTGTTCTCAACAGGGGGTGGACTAAAGGAGGAGACTGGACAGAAGCAGAGCAGAAGCCAGGGTCAAGGGGTCATAGGCAGAGTCAACACCTGGTATCTGACTCTGGAGCTCACTACTAAACCCCACTGAGTCTCAACTTTACTACTCTATAAAATGGAAACAAATAATTACTACCTCAGAGAACGACAATACAAACTAAAGAGGGTGTGTGTGTGTGTGTGTAAATGTCGCGGTGTACTATATTAATGACAGGCATCAGGATGACAACAATGACGTTTTTTGATTCTGCCTGGCTTTAGCTCCGCACAGTGCAGGCTCATTGTACAACATCCCAGCGCAGACCCTCTAGCTGTAACGCCACAACAAGGTCTTCCTTCACCAGGGCCCCACTGACAGCCAATGACCAAAGATGGGGAAGGAGGTAAGGGGAGGCAAAGGCAAAAGAAAGGATGGTTATGAGAGGCATAAGAGCAGAGGAAAGAGGGAGGAAGGCAGGCTCCACCCAGAAACCAGGCGCACGGGGGAGTGGGGACCTACAAGGAAAATACTTGCGCCACTTCTCCAGCAGGAAGTCGTCCACGGTTTGCGAGGAGGAGGAGAGCCTGGTGCCCTGGCCCGGGTCCCAGGCCCACTGGGTGGACGTGGGTGTGGCAGACGATGAGGACGACGGCTTGGTCAGGAGGGGATAGGCTGGGGTAGGGGTGTTCTTGGAGGGCCGAAGCGAGGAGGTGAGGAGCGGAGGTGGTGGCGGCTGGGAGTTGAGGCTGCCCAGCACGCTCAGCACACCATTCAGCTCACTGCTGATCCGCTGAAGGGAACTGCTCAGGTAGTGGATCTTGTTGGGATCGGCGGAGCTTGGGGTCAGGGTGACTGAAAGAGGCAGAGGGGAGGAAGGATTCAGGGTCGAGTTGGCACTTGAGTACCCTACTACTGCAGACAACAGGCTAAAGACCTTATGGGAGGACAAAGGATGGGAGCAGGGCTTCTGTCCCCGACAAGGGCCCAAGGACATAGACAAAAGGAAAAACAAGGTCCCTGACCCAAGTACAGGCCAGAGCAGCCAAGAGTGAGGGGCTGCAGGGGCCTGGAGAGAAGAGACTGCAGGGATCCTTGGCCCCTTCATCCTCCATGTTGCAGACCCAGGGTGATGATTACCTCATCCAGGCTCGCTAGGGCTTGGAGGAGGAGGCTAGAGTGGCCCCGCATTCCTCCCCTCCACAACACTGGGCTTCACTTCCCCTCTCCCTCCCTGGCTTCCTTGTGTGGCACCACTCACTGTGAGGCAGGGGGCAGGACTCAGAGCTCTCGCTGCTCAAGTCTTCCATGTCACTGAGGTCAAAGGTCACCTTCTTGATAGAGGATCCTTTCAGAGTGTCCTCATCAGAGACCTGACAGGTAGAAGGGACCATTAGCACTGTCCCCTCCCGTCTGATGAGGTGGTTCTTCTGAGGTCCAAGGTTCTGGAGGCACCCCAGGAAAGGCACCCCACAGTCTGCCTCAGAAGAGGGGCTAAGAGAACTCAACTGCCTGTGAAGCAGTCCGGGGGCACCCTCAGGATCAGCAGAACCCCATCATTTACCCCAAATTAACCTTGCAGTTTCCCATTTGAGTATCTCTGCTCCCAAATCGAAACCTGGGGCATGGAGGAGATTTCACACAGTCTCAGGGAAGGAAGAGACACCCTGAAGCCACACTTGGTCACACTTCTGGAACTATGCAGGAATAACAGGGCTAGTCCCCAATTCTGTGACATTCACCAAGAATGCTGTGGCCAAGCAGCAGATGCTCCAAGGATGACTTGAACATCGGCACAGACATCAGCTTCTCAGATATTTCGACAGAGCCAATGCCTCTGTTATCTCGGCCAAGAGCCTGAGCACTAGCGATCCAGCTCTCCCTAATCCAGGCCTAGAGGAGGGAGGGAGGGGCCACACCGGGCTATGTGGCCACAGGGAGACACCTCTTCCTGTAGAGAAGATTCCAGTTGGCTCAGCTTCTCTTCTTTCTTCTTCAGCAGGTCATGGCCTTTCCTCATGGCTGACTTCATCTCATCCAGGTGCCTGGTCTCCTGTGACCAGGGAGGAAGGGGAGGAAAAACGTTCAGCACGGATACTAGAGTCCGGGCTCTGGTATTTGTTGGCTGGGTGGTTGTAAATACATCCCTTAACTCTCAGGCCGGCTGCTCATCTGAGAGAATGGCTACTTTCCCTCAGACCCTGAGAACTAACAAGACAGTGTGTTACGTGAGGAACACTATGCCCGTGGATGCTAAGTCCTCAAGCTGTGGGACAAACGGTTACCATCACTCTGTTAACCCTGCCACCACCAAAAGGAATACAGCACAGCAGTAAAAGTGCCCAGGGAGAGAAGGGAACCCATTCTTGTGTCTGCAAGCCTCTTGCTATCTGTTGCTCACAGGCTAGGCATCCAGGTCTCAGAGCATGGGTCTCTCACTGGTTCTGGCACCATCAGAATCTAAGCATTCAGACATGTTCCAGGGGAACCTGTGCTATTGAGGCCTAGATTGGTACACAAATCTGTAACATCATATAACAATGGCATCTCTGTCTTTTCATTGCGAATCAGACTGTCGGAGAAGCCAGCCAGCTACTCAACCTTGCACTGAGTGTATCTACAGATCCTCTGTCTTCAGTATACCAAAGGATAAAGAAGAGCATTGGATTTGAAATATTTTAGACATTGGTTGTACCTTTCATGTAGGACATGGCAATAGCAATAAAGGTTGAGTATCCCATTTCCAAATTGCTTGGCCTCAGAAACATCTGAGATTTTGTAGTTTTCAGATTTGGGAATATCTGCATGGACTTTACTGCTTGAATTGATTTGGGGGTTAGGGACCCTCAACCTGTATCCTCACTCATTAAAGATGATTACTATGAAGATAAAACAATTTGTTATTAGAGAAGGTGTTTGCACATGACGTATGGCCATGATGAGGCAAGTGACCACAGAGCCCGTGTGGCCCATCTCAGGGTTCCCAGAATGCTCAGCTGAGGAAAGCTAGCACCCTCAGATCTCCCAATACAGAATAGCAGGCCCTCCTCTAGGCTCCTAACCTCATCCAAGTTCTTGCACACATTGTCCAGGATCTTGGTGCCTGGGAGGTCTTCATCCACCTCCTGGGCATTAGCCAGCTCACGGCGCCAATGCTGCTGGGCGGCTTTCAGGGCCGTTTGTCGCCTCCTCATGGAGCGTGTCTGGCGCACTAAGAACTCCTTTGCACTCCGGACAGCTACACCCTCAGCAGAGAGGAAGTGTCGGACACTGTGGGGCAGGAGGGAGTAGGGAAGGAAAACCAAAGACTACACTGAGCCACGGGGCCACTCCCCCAGCACATGTCCACATGAACACACACAGGAACTGCTGGACTGGGACTAGGGTATCACCATTAAGTACCTGAGGGTGTGGCACATGAGGTCAGTAGCTCACAGATACTCTGTGAATTGTGCCTGGGGCCTGTACTCAGATAACTAGATACTCCTAGAGGTCTGACCTTCAACTGGAGGCCAGCAAGTACCAGCCTGCTGTGTTAAAAGTCACCTAGCGTAGGATAGTAGCTTAGTAGAGTCTTCCATCCCGGGGCCATGCCTTGAACCAAGCCTCACTGAAGGTCATTGTCATCTCAGCTCTGGTAGAAACACTCAGTCATGGCACAAGATGGGTTGGGGAAACTCACCTGTCCATGGCCAGGTCGATCTCCTCCTTGCTCTGCGAGAGGGAAGAGGACACCTCCTGGGTCTCATTCTGCAAACACATAATAGAAAAGGCCAGCTGAGTGCGGCAAAAGCCAACAGCCCACAGGCTAAAGGAATCCTGAAGTCCTGCCCGGTGTCCTAGCCACAGAAACAGCTCTGCCAGCCCCCAGGTGCTCTTCACATATATGAACCCTCTGAGTGATAGAGAGGGTGGAGAAAGAGACTAAGAAAAGGAGCTAGAATCAAAATAAAGCAGAGCCAAGTTCCTCTCCAAATGTCCAACCCCTACCATCACTTCCAGGCCCCAGCCCCTCGCTCACTGTGCCAAGGGATTTCCTCAGGTCCTCAATGTGGAGATCTGGCTCCAAATGTGGGGATGCATTATTCTCAGCTGCCAGTTCTTTAAACATGTCTTGTTTCCTTTGAACTTCAGCCTCTAGGCTACTGTAGTGAGGAAGAGAGCAGGAGGCAGGGCTGTGAGGCTGGGATACTCACCCTCATTCCCACAGGGCAGGGCTGGGATGTGGACACCAGAACCCAGAATCCTCTCTTTCTCACAGGCTCAGCACTCCATTCCCTACCAAATATAGCAGGACTGTGCTGGCTGCTTCTATCTGGGCTCCAAACTGAGCCCTCTCCCTGTGGATGTTCATGATGACATGGGTCCCAAAGCAGTAGCGGGCAGATGTCCGGGGGAAGAGGTGGCCACTAACCAGGAGCAGAGTGTCCACACTACCTCAGGTGCTTCTGCAGCCTCTGACTTTGTGCCTGCAACAGATCCACCTGGGACTCCAGCTCCACCCGCCGGACACGCAGGTCATCGATGACCCTCCGCAGCTGTCGCTTTGACTCCACCAGGTGGGTATGCTCTTTCTTTGCCTCTTCCAGGTGCTGACGGGTGGCTGTGGTTTCCTGGGGCAGAGGAAAAGGTAAGAATGCGCACCGATGCCGTGGGGAGAAGGTGAGGTGCAGGCAGTGTCAGAGGTGTGGGAGACAGAAAACAAGCGGAAGCCGGAGCCGCTGCAGCCACTGTCTCTAGGGTCTGGGGTCTGCAGGCTCCTAGTCCCCCACCAGAGCCCCACTCCCCAAGGCTTGAAAGTCAGGTCCACTGGGTAACGTGATACTGGCCAACACAGTCTTAGAATCCCAGGGACCTGGACACGACAGGTGAACAGATGGCAGGGGACAAACAGGGTGGGCAAACAGACCTCCTTCTCGAGAGCGGCCTGCCTCTGCGCATCCAGGAGCAGCTGCTTCTCTTTCCGCATGTTCTCTTCCTGGAGGGAGACAAGCCCTGGGCTGACTGCAGACCCCAGGACTGAGGTAGGAAGAGCCTGCCCTCTATGCTCAAACCCCCTCCCCAAGGCAAGGTAGATCCAGCCTCGGCCTCCCTCACCTGGGCATCCAGCTGAGCCAATCTGGCCTTGATATCTTTAGTTCTGGCTGCAAGTTCCACCTCTAAATCTTGTAATTTCCTTTCCTGGCCAAAGTATGGTAGAGAGAAAGACATGGGTGTAGAAAGAGTGAAAGGTTATTATTAGCTGAAGGACAGGAGAAAGATCCAGAACCCAGCATGCCACACCCCAAACGCTAAGCTGGACTCAGGCTTGTTCCCTGTTTCCCTGTCCTTGCAGCTTTCCAGTGTATACACGCCACATCTTGTTGATCCCCAGTGGGGCAAGGAGACATGAACCTGTCCACCCTAAAGATGTAAATGGGCTGACCTCTCCTTTCCAATACTAGGGCTACTCCCAGGCTCAGAAAAAAAGGAACAAAGATACCCTGGAGTGTGGGCATAACCAGGGTGAGATCCCATTCCTGAAGGTGCCAGAATCTCTGTCCCTGCCCTGCAATGGAAGTCTCTAAGTACTGCCCTGACTCCCAGGTCCTCACTTGATCCCGATGCCGCCGCCTGAGGTCCTCAAGCTGCTGGTCCTGCTCCTGCCTCAAGTTCTCCAACTCTCGCTCGTGGGCCCTTCGCAGGCGCTCCAGCTCTCCAGTCAGGTGCCCCAGGAGGTCAGCACGCTGCTTTCTTTCCTGAAAAGATCATGGGGCTACCTGTGGGACCCTACAGTAGCTCCTAACACCCCAAAATCAGTTTCCCCAACTCCTGCTGTGTTAGATCAAATAGACTGATGAGGGTCACTATCAGACCCCAGATTTTGTCCTGAGGCTGCGCTTTCTGCCCTGGAAGATTCCAGTCACCGAAGCAGGAGCCCAGCAGTCTCCCATAGGACTGAGTTGTACGACAGTCACACTGCCACTGGCCCACTATCCAGCCCCAACGGGAACAAGCCAAGTTGAATTGGGGTCCACTCAAGTCATGGAACACCTCCACTCTAGATGGGTAAACGAGATGGTTGCTATTACTGCCTGTCAAGTTGATAGAGCCTGGAGTCACCGAGGAGTCAGGCTCTGGGCATGTCTGTGAGGGATTTTCTAGATTGGGGCAGCTGAGGTGGGAAGACCCACACTAAATGTGAACAGCACCACTCCACGGGCTGGGGTCTCAGACCACTAAAATAAAACCGGAGCTGAGGGTCGGCACTCATCCCTCTGCTCCTGACTGTGGGCGCAATGTGGCCAGCTGCATCATGCTTCTGCCGCCACGCCTGCCCCACCACAAGAAGAGGATAACTCCACACTGGGCCAGAAAAACCCTTCCTTCCTTGAGTTGTCTTTGCCAGGTAGCTTGTCACATCAACAACAACATTAAAAATGTAACTAATCCAGGCAGATAATATCCGTCTGTTGTTGGGCTCTTGTCTCCTTGCTGACCTGAAATTCTATGCGCCCTGGGGGCGTGGCTTCGGAGTGACTAAAACTGAAAGCTGTGTAGTCAGACAGCTTGGGAAGGTGGCCTAAATTCCCCAGGTCTCCAAAATGAAGATGATGGCACGCACATTTCCCAAGGCTGCCGCAAGGACTGAATGCAGGAAGATGGCTAAGGAGCTCAGAGTAGTGCCTGGCACCTGGTAAAGGCTTAGTAGCATCAGTAATCATTACCATTTAAACAAAGTGCAGTCGCTGTGGGAGAAGAAACACCCCTCGTCGAGGAACGGGGGGGTTTCTCATGCTTCACTGGTAAGATGGAACAATGACTTTGTCATTGCAGGATGCCAGAGAAGTAAGTCTCCTCCAACCTTTTCCAGATGTCCCCCTCCCCATGCCTGCAGCTGAGAAGAACAGCAGTTGGTGTGCCCGTGTCCACATTTGCTGGAGAGGGAGGAGACTAAGCTACCTCAGCTTCGTATCGCTCTCTGGCTTCAGCCATCGCTTTCCGGTGCTCCTCCTTCATCTTGTCCATCTTCCTCTCATGTTCCCTCTCTACCTCCTGGCGCTTGTCTCGAAAGAGGCTGCTAAGCTGGAAGGGGACAAAAGGAACACAGCTTGCATGGACTGAGAGTGCCCAGGCCTGGGGACCTGAAGGTCTTACACATGAACTGTCCCCAATACGCACAGAGCACCAAAGCACATGTATGTTGAACTATGACCACTACCCCTTCCTACAGGCACACGGGGGCCTAGAAGCACCAAAGGTTCTACTTTTGAAGGACTGGAGGCCACTCAGACTAGATGGTCCAGAAGACCTTAATGGAGCTGATATAGACCACCACTCACCTCTTGCTCATACTCAGTCACCTGATGAACCTTCTGGTGAGCTCTCTGCTCTGCCAACACAAGGCTCTCCTGTAACTGGGCCTCCTCTTTCTGCTGAGCCCCCTCTATCTTCTTCTGGAGGCTGGAGACCACCTAAGGAGACACCAGCACATACACAAGAATGTGGCCCTCAGAAGTGGAGCCTCTATACAGGGACTCACTGCCAGAGATTAGGCACCCATTCCAGCATCCTGAGGGGAAAGGAAATGCACTCCCTACTGGCCAAGGGTGGGGCTGAATTCCTGTGCCACCCAACATGAAGGGATCTGAGGGCCCAGGCTCTGCCCCGTCAGACCAGGCCATGCTCTTCTCACCTCCCGGTGTTTGGCCTCCAATGAGGAACAGAGCCGCTCCAGCTCAGCACTGTGCTCCTTCTCCAGGTCTGCCACTGCCTGGAGAAAAGCAGAGGGACTGTGAGAATCAGGGAAGAGCACTGGCCGGGCACTGACCAAGGGAAGCCAGGGTTCAGAGGACCAACTTGCTCTGTGTAAATAAGGGGCTGAGAAGAATCACAGGGACACTTTTGTTTCAAAATAACTTAGCCCCTATAGTCTATAGCTGACAGAGGGGAAGAACAAAAGCCAGCATAGAGGCCTTTCAGTAAACCTCAGATCACCACTTCCACACCGACCCTGAGCAAGCTCACAGGTACATACACAAACCCACAGTCACCACTTCCACACCGACCCTGAGCAAGCCCACAGGTACACACACAAACCCACGGTCACCGCTTCCACACCGACCCTGAGCAAGCCCACAGGTACACACACAAACCCACGGTCACCACTTCCACGCCGACCCTGACCGCTTCCACACCAATCCTGAGCAAGCCCACAGGTACACACACAAACCCACGGTCATGGCTTCCACGCCGACCCTGAGCAAGCCCACAGGTACATACACAAACCCATATATGAGAATATGAGGCAGCCAGGCCAGATGGAGGTCAAAGTAGACTCTGGGAACCTGATCTACAGCATTAGGTGTCTAACAACCAAAGCTCTCGCCAAAAGCAAAGTTCTGTGTAGCCCATCACTAGGAGTTTAATTTGGAGGCTGATGTGATGCTGGGAGGAGAAAGTGAGGCAGGGAAAACCTGTGCAAAGGGTTTGTCTCTTATTCCAGAGCAGTCGGGGAAAGGAGCCACTGCGGCCACCTACAGCGACAGGGACAGCACCATCATGTCAAGCCCTCTTCTGGCCACAGCTCCTCCATAGCAAAAGCTCCCCAAATCCACAGGACATTTCCCTGGACATCTGCTGCAGAGACCAGGGAGAGCACCTGCCCTGAGTAGAGTAAGCCCACACAAGGAGCTCAGGGAGTCAGCTCCCCTGCCTGCACCCCAGCCTGGAGCGAGCCCCTCTCATGCTCTGCACATTTGTGTCAAGGGGGCAGATTTGATTCAGCTCACTCACCTCTTTCCTCTCCCCTTCCAGCTTCTCCCTCAGCTGCCGCAGAGCCACCTCCTTCTCAGCCTCCTTCTCCGCCTTCAGGGCGGCCTGGGCACTCCTCTCCTCGGCCTCCAGCTGCTCCCTTAGCTGCTCCAGCACCCTCCTGCTTTTCTGTTCCAAACTGGCTCTTTCAGCCTTCTGGAGGGTCTCTGCTTCCTCTCGAAGCCTCTGGAGGGCAGCCTGTTGCTCGGTTCTGGGCAGACAGAATGGAATGGGAAAAGTCGGGCACTCAGGTCATTGCCTCAGGCCAGGCAGCCCCCAGTGTAGACTCACCTAATTTGGTTCTCAAATGCTTCTGTACTGGACTGCACCTGGGCCCAGAGGCGGGCCAGCCTCTGGCTTTCTTCCTCTCTTATCCGAGTCTCCTCTTCCTCCTCTTCTGCCGCAGCAGCTTTCTGCAGCTGCGCCTTCAGGAGGCTGAGGAAAAAGGAAAGATATAGGCTGGTGAGAGTGACTACTGAGGTCTTTCTTGGACTCAGAATCAATGCAACTCGGCCTCCCCACAAACCACACTCAGTACTAGAGATCAGTCAATGTCTCATCCACGCTGGTTCCTTGTGGACTTAACCTCCATCTACCCTTGCCGCGGCAAGCAAAAGGCAGGCTGCTTGGTGCAAGGCTCCCCTCCACCTACAGGTTATCCTCCTGGACAAAGTATTCACTCAAAGAAGGTTATAGCCAACCTCATCCCTCAGTCAATAGACTCTATCCTGCGCACATCAAATGCATCACATCTCCAGATCTCTACCCTTTTCTTTGCCCCTTGACTATTGCTCATGCTGGTCCTTCAGTCAAGAATTCTATTTTTCTATCTGACAAAATCCTATTCGTTGCCCAACAGGCAAATTCATCAATTCACCTTTCCCCTTACAATCTGCATGCAGGCCTTTCTTAGCGCAAGCTGCCCTGTACCATGCATCACGATACCTCGTAACTAATTTGTTCCATCTGCTTTCCTTGCAAAACAGGGAATTTCTTCAGAATAAGAATCCTTCTTCTTTCCAGGCAATGGTGGTGCATGTTTTTAATCCTAGCACTTGGGAGGCAGAGGCAGGCGGACCTCTGAGTTTGAGGTCAGCCTGGTCTACAGAGTGAGTTTCAGGACAGCCAGGGCTACACATATCTCAAAAAAACTTAAAAAAAGAAAAAAAGAAAAAAAAATCCTGCCTCTTTTGGGGGGAGAGGAAAGGTCTCCTTTAGTCTAGGCTGGCTTCACATCCCCTATGTAGCCAAAAATGGCCTTAACTCCTGATCCTTCTGCCTTCACCTACCAAGTGCCTGGAATTACAGGGTTATGCTACCACATCTGACTAATGATACTGTCTTTTGTATCAAGCACAGAATATAGTAACAGATATAAAACACTGTTCCGTCAGTGTGTTGGGTTTGTGTAATATCACCTAGCCCCAAACTATGAGCAAGCCTTAAATGTCCATGAGAGGTAATTATCTGACCAGTGATACCCATCATTTCACCTGAAGCAAACAAACCTCTGCTTTTACAAACGAGATTTTTTTTTTTGCGGGGGTGGGGGGGGCTCCTCACATAGATCCCACAAGACTAGTGGATGTGTGCAGTGCAGCCAGAAAGTTCAACCCTAAGAAAAACATGATCAAAAGACCAGTGAAATCCAGAGACAAAGCAGGCTTGGGATTATTTCCTATTTCAAGCTATTTATATCACTCTCTTCCTCTGTGGTAAGGAGCAAAATGTGAGCAAAGTACAAATCCTTCCTTTAAGACCCCAAAACCCTTTTTTTCCATGGCAAAATTTACACAGCCAACATGAATGTAGGGCTGAGGGGGAACTGAGAGCAATCCAAGCTCTCCATTTCACATCTAACAAAAGGGCAAGGAGGAGAATCCACACCCAAGAAAGTTTGTGTGGAAAGAGAAACCCAGACAAGGCTCTTACCCACAGAGAAATCACTTAGTCATTACTGGCTAAAACTATTCATTTCTACCCAAAATCAAGGCAAGAAATACCATTTGGGGAGCAACTAGCATGTTCTAGGCCCTGAGACATACCTCCGGCACCCTGGTCTCCACAGCAAGCTTAGGAGCCACCCTCGGGCTGGAGGTGCTGTACTCTAAGGGAAGCCGTTGGCTGCACCGTGACCTTTAGCTGGCCGGAAGAGGATACTACTCGTGGACACAAGAAGATGTGACAGAGGGTGGACCCTGGGGCAGGGAGCCTGTGCTGGGCTAATGAGAGGTTGAACCTGACCTCCCACCATTAAGGTGACGCTTATCTGTTTTGTTTCCTCAAAATTAGGCATAGATTTGCTATCTATGGTCTAAAAATAATAACTTTCAGTTGCTCCTGGATGTTCTGTCTAAAAGGACAAGCCGTGGCATTAAACTGTCAACAAAGAACATTCACATGCTTCTGAAGGCTTTTCCTGGCCGAGGGCTATGACACGCTGCTTTTTACCTTCTTGGTAGCCATTCACCCCTTTCTTCTGAGCAGAACCCTGCTTTTACTCTAGGGCAGAAAGACTAGCTGAAGGACCACCTCTCCAGTCTTGCTGTCACCAAAGGAGCCAGGCCAGACAGGTTTTCCCTGGGCACTCAATGCAGTACCAACAGAAGTTTCTGGGAGAGTTTTCTAGGAGTTACTTTTGGTGAGATTGTGGGCATCCCAGATACATCAGCACAGGAAAAGGGTGCCCGTCCTTCCCCAAACCCCTGCCCTGAGAAGAAGAAGACCTGAGGGATTTCTCCTTCTGCTGGTAAAGCCGTTGCACCTCCTCCTCCTCTTCCCGCCACAGCCTTTCTTCCAGCTGCTTCTGCCTCTCTTTCTTCAGCTCCAGCAGCTGCCTCTGGTCTTCCTTCGGTTCCTGGGTCACTGCCTCGTCTGCGGCCTTCAGTATAGCCTTTGAGAACTGCTTTTGGGGAGCTGCAGGCTCTGTGGTTTGCCTGCGTAGGGAAGGGGGCAGCTTACCACCACAGTGTTAGAGCCCACCAAGGTCCAAAAGCTACAGAACATCACGCCAAAACTCTAATGGGGAGCCCCCAGACAGGTCACACAGGGGCTGGCAGTAAGACACAGTGAGCATCTGTCTTATGGAATAAGCCTGGACTGGATAAGATCCAGGATCCTAGGAGGGGGACAGTTCCTAACAGCCTTGGGAGGCTGTGGCCTGAGGGGCGGCTTCTGGCAGAGCAGAGATCGAAAGTTTGTCCTCATGGGCTCTCCCCTGGGATGGTGCAATCCTGTCTCCATGTCCCTACTATAGCTCTGCCTACTACTTAAGGCTCATTTCAGAAATAGGTCCCAGAGTCTCTTCTCTGCCTCCCAAATCAAGCAGAGGCCAAGGCCATGTAGAAGAACCGCAGAAGAAGCTACAAAGTTCCCTGCCTTGATACCAAAGGAGCCAGGTGCTTTCTGAGCTGAATGCGATGAAATGCTGTCATCAGTACACGGTTACGTTAATGTTTGGAAATGGTGAGAAACTCTGAGTTAACCTGAGTGCACAGAGGACTGTTAAGAAGACATACAGTCATGAAGAGTATCAGGATAAAGTATTTTACTTCCTTCAAAGCCAGGAGGCATGCGCACTCCCGGGTGCCTAAGCCTCACATTCCAGTGCCTATTGGTACTGGAATTCTCAGCACAGAAACACTTCTTGCACAGTGCTCAGACACTACAGACTGGCCATGGTTCACTCCAGCAGGAGCATGTGGGCAGGACCTGAATCCAGGAACCACTTGAGAGTCAAACAGGGGAGCCCGCCTGACTGAGAGCCCTAAAACCCCTCCCTCCGGCTCAGCAGCGTAGCAGACGGAAGGCAGCAGGAGGGGACAGACCAAAACGGCAGAAGAGAACGGGGTGAAGAACCCCACTGCAACCCACAGATGCTAGTGAGAAACAGAAAATACAGTCAAGACCTGTCCTTCCCTATTTCTAAAATCAGAACTCAGAAAATAACCCTAAGCCACGCTATCAATTCTCTCCTCCCAACTCTGTCCCCTCCCTCCTTCCACATCCTGGCTTCCTGAGTCCCCTGACACAGCCAACTGATGGCAGATACAGCAACATGGCTGCTACCTCCTCTGAGAATACTGCCCTCCACACAGGCCTCCCCGCCCAGCTCTCTGCCTCATCAACCCTCCAACTCATTTCCAATCTTGGCAGAAAGCATCTTTTCCCAACGACAGTACCTTTTAATGTCTGTCTCCCATGTGGGCTGCATAGTTGTGTGTAGCCCTAGGGACAGATGCTGCAGGAAGATGGGACATCAGAGCATACGTGCCCAGGCTATATACACCAGTGAGCCCGCCTGCGCACCTGACGCACAGGCAAATGAGCCTGTCTCCTGCCTCTCTGGTTTAAAGACTTGGGTATCCTGAAGACCTTGCTTAGGTCTAAAGCATTGAATGATGCCTGAGAGAGCCTAGAGCAAGCTGAGGGCTCAGAAAGAAGAGGTGGGTCTGGTTTCTAGGCCAACTGCTCAGGTATCAACCTCTGTGAGACCCAGTTTCCAGTCATGGGAGGCCAGGCAGGCTGGACACTAAGTAACTCAGAGATACACAGGGATAAGCAAGGGTGGGAAGGCAGGGAGGGCGAGGCAGCCCCCTGGAGCAGTCCTAGAAGTAAAGGTACTACTGCTAAGCTAGAGTCAGACACCCGGACTCTCTGCAGCAGCACTGGAATTGAAATTGGATCTTGCATATGTTAGGCAAATAAACACTCTACCACTGAGCTACACAGCCAGCCAGTGGCTTAGATCCATTTACTATTCCACAAATGCTAATAAAAGATGCAGATGATGATGTCTACGGCCTAACCCTTCGGACTCAGCTGCCCGATACAGAACTCCTGCACTACTCTGAAAAAACAACCGATTCCCAGTGGAAAAGACTCAAGGAAAGAAAAGCAGGTGCAGCCTAAGAGTGGGGCACACTGAGCCTAGGAGGCCAGTCAAATGTCTGGAAACCCCAGGAAGAACAGCATCACTGAGACAGGAAGAAACATGAAGTCGGGGCACTGGGCAGTCACGGTGTCTGGAGAGGAGTTAAGCCAAGCTTCTGGCCTCCCCACAGAGGGTCTGGGACCATCCCCTGACCTCTACCTAGCTTCCTCTCTCACACTCAACTCCTGTCCTTGTGAACAATGCCCTGATTCACTGGGTCACAGTCACACAGGAGACCTGAGAAAGCCATGTTTGTCACTGCACGATAGCTCACCGTCTGAAAAAGAAATGTGGTTGCTGCATGCCCACGTGACTCCGGCAGGGTTAGGATGATGAGATGAAGTCATGAGATAATGAGCCCCTTGACCTGGGGAGCTCTCAGTGAGTCACCAGCAGAAAAACTGTCTGTTCAACAACCCTGGGCCCGTTGTACCCCTCATTCACTGGGGGAGAGCCTGGCACAGCTACCTCAGGCCTAAAGTCAAAAGTCAGGGCTCTAGGGAGCAAGTTTGCTCACTGTGTGACTCACCAGCAAGCCCCTCCCCTCCCTGAGCCCCTATCTTCTTTCTAAAACACTCCATATCTGTTTTAAGAGAAAACTCATGCTTCATGGTTCCTGTTAACACAAGTCTCAAGGTTCCCCTCACCCACGCTCAGACCTGGCAAGAATCAGTGATGGTTAGTGGAGCCCTCAAAGCTGCATATGGAGCACCAAGGATGAAGGCATCCTTCACTCCACTCCTGCCACCACTCAAGGGGAACGGGCACTCAAGCAGTCCACACACTGGAAGACAGAACAGACACATAAAACTGGCCCTTACACCTCTGAAGAGACAGATGAGGTGGGGCTGACTGCCACCTTCTCCTCAGGCTCCTCAGCCTCTTGCTGCCCAAGACCCAGCTCTTCAGCCTGGGAGTGCTTCTCCTCAGACCTCTCAGGGAAAGCAGGCAGGCTCAGGACCTGCTCCCTTGCAAGCAATAAAGAAGCAACTGTGTTAGAGCCGGTTAGGGAGGGAAGGGCTCAGCTTACAGCCTATTCGGGGTTAAAGAGCTGTGGTGGAGACAAGGAGGGCAGCCCCAGGGAAACTTGCCTGCCTCATTCCCCAATCCCCCTCTCTCCCAGCCTCTTCTGTTGCCATTAGAAGTGAAGACCAAACTTTCCCACCCGCATGGGAAGAGAGATGGTCCCATCACCCAGAAAGCACTACACACAGCAGGTATTCAGTGGATGCTGTTGATTAGACTTTGCTACAGCTCAGCTTCCCCTGCAGCTCATTCAAACTGTATGACTCTTAAGACCAACATCTTCCTTTTGCCAGGAGAACAGAGACACTGGCAAATACACCCTGGGCTCCGGACCAGGCTGGGACAGAAAGGTCCTTCCATCTGGCTTCAGAAGATCCAGGGGCCCTGCACTGCCATCTGGCTGGGCTCAGGACAAAACAGTGCTCCAGCTTAGCCTGTGCAAGACTAGAGGTGGGCTAATGCCTGCTGGGAAATGCTGATGGAGCTGAAAGGGAGGGGTCCCTAGCAGTCCCTAGCAGGAGTGCAGTGGCCAGGGCAATAGCAGTCTGCCCTGGCAGGAGGAGGTGCACTCTTATTCAAGAGTTCCTATGGCTCCCCCATCAAGCTGGCTACCCTACTTTCAGCTGTAAATTGAGAACTATGAAGAAGCAGATTCACCACCTCACCCCGACCCTGCCCACTACCCCTGGTTTCTGCTGCTCTGGCTACAGTGTCTACAACAGTTCTCATCCCTGTCTCTGTTCCTCACTATTACAATGACACGTGGAGGGGCCACCACCCTCAGGGACCCGTCTTCCTCAGCCTTACCTCTGAAGGGGGGCCAGTGGGGTGGGGCTGGCTACAGAGTCCTTTCCAGACTCTTCTTCCTTCCACTCAGGCTGCCCCTCCGGGGTCTGCAGAAGTCCTTCCTCCACAGCCTGGCTGTGCAGGGTACTCTGGAGCTGTTCCCTTGACAGAAATGGGGAACAATAACCTGGTCAGGGCGGCCAGAGGAGCAGGGTCAGGCCATCACTCAGAAAGCAAGAAGAGAATGTGTGTGGTAGAAAGCGTGCACCAGTCCCCCCTCATCTGGACAGGGGTCACTGCACCCCACACCTACAGAGGCTTTAGACATAGCGGTCACACAGGCAGCAAGACAGCCTCCCCCTCAGCTCCCTCCTGCAGGCTTACAGCTGCATTTGCCTGGTACAACAGCTGAACACCTTCACATGTATGTCCACCCTCAGAATTCACTATCACCGGGGTCAGGGAGGGATGAAAAAAATTAAGGGAAAATGGGGAAAGGAAGGCCTGAAGAGATGGCTCAGTGGTTCAGAGCATCTGTATTGCTCTTCCAAGGACCTGAGTTCGATTCCCAGCGCCCATGTTAGATGGATCATAACTGCCTGTAATTCCAGCTCCAGGGCATCCTACACCTCTAGCTTCTGTGGGCACTCATATTCATGAGTGCACATACATGCACACACAGAGACACACACAGAGACTCATACATAGACACACACTTAAAAATCAAATAAAAATATATTTCAATGGGGCAAGGATAGGTTGGAGAGATGACTCAGTGAAAAAGAGTACTTGCTCTTACAGAAGACTTGGGTTCAATCCCCAGCACCCACATGGCTGCTCACAACCATCTGTAACTCCAGTTCCAAAGGATTCAATACCCTCTTCTGACCTCCTTGGGCTCCAGGTACACAGTCATACATCCATTAAAAAAAAAAATCACACACATAAAATAAAAATAAATAAAAATAAATGGAGAAAGGTAATGCCAGACTCAAGTGGTCAGAAAGTAGCCAGAGCAGGAAGCATCAGTGAATACAGCAAAGAAGGAAGAGTGCAGACCACTTTCTCAGATCCAAGAAGCCATGACTACTACCCTACATTTTCACTGGGTTGTAGCCCTCCTCCTTTTATGGGATGAGACGAGGGGACCTGAGGAGGAGGTTGTCCTGCTGCATGTGTGACTACTATGTGTTATACACATGCACACTTGTGTGTGTTGTGTGTGTATGTGTGAGAGAGAGAGAAAGTCTGCACAATCATCTCTACATCACAGGACCTCTCTCTCTTTCTCTCTCCCTCCCTCCCTCCCTCCTTCTCTCCCTCCCTCTCCTCCCCTCCCTTCCTCCTTCTCTCTCTCCCTCTCCCTCCCTCTCCCTCCCCCTCCACCTCTGCCATCACAGGAAGAACCCTGGCTCAGAATGCAGCGCTTCAGTACCTAAGAACATGGCTCTCCAGACACCCAACAGACCACTTCAGCCCTGGCTCATGACCAGATACTCACAGCTTAATCCAGCTAAATCAGCCCAAACCAATAAAGAGTTCAGAGCCCTGGACCCACCAAATGGCCATGTGCAAAGTCCTGCCAAGTGACACTTCACACTCCCGTCACAGTACACCACCACAGGCAGGCTTCATCCCACCCCCACCCCCACACCACATACACACACCTTGTACTGCCATCCAGCCGGGTCACCATCTGTCTTCCAGCAAGGGCATACTACACCAATGCCAACCATAAGGACCAGGAATTCTACCCAAGCCCACACCACCCTGACGACACAGAATGCCTTGGGTCCCTGGGGCAGCCTCCCACTGTACCTCTCAGAGACTTGGGAATGCTTGCTCTGTGGCTCAGCTCTGCTGGACTGGCTGTCATCTCGTTCTTGGCCTAACCCCTGGGCCTGTAAACAAGAAGTCAGGGAGAAATGCATTAGAGGGCCATGCACTGCGAGGGTCTCTTATCCTGAGTCAGACACTCAGTAGGTGCACTAAGGTATGTCTGGAGAGGCCAGGACACTGAGACACAGAACACGTCTGTCTACTGTAAAATGCAGTTTCCTAAGCTCTGGCTAAGTCCCTGGCCCACAGCTGGAGCAGGAGACAAATAAGTATAGTCACTCACACAGAAATAGGAGCCAGAGGTGGGGGTGGGGAGGACCCAAGAGCCTGGCCCGCTGCCTAGAGCCTGCACTGCTAGCTGCAAGGAGAAGGCAAGGATCCCCATGGACACTCAAATTCACTGAGGCCTGGCTCATCACGGCTGGCGGTATAGGGGTGCCAAAATAAAATAGGCTGACCAAAGGCAGTGGGCAAGCACACCAGAAAGAAGGAATTCTGAAGCACCAGAATTTAGGTGGGAGAAGGGAGGCTGTGCCCCAAACTGGAGGGTGCCTGACTCTCGGGGAGGGCAGCGACCTTCCTTCCACTGCTCCATTCTAGGACATGAGCTCCGTCAGAAGACAATGAGCCCCCTGTCCCACAGTCTGCTATTACAGCATCTGTTTGAAAATAAACTCTTGAGACTCTCAAATCTTATTTTACATCGTCAGTATCTAGGCAAATTTAGCAAGTTGTCTTTTTTTTTTAAAAAAAAAAAAAAAGGGCAATATCTGATGATTTCAAATATTTCCTAAAGAAATGTAGTGGTGATGTCAGTCTGGGATCCACTCTTTGTTCCAGAACGTCCTGCCTCAAGCGACTCCTCCCCCAACTATGGCATGATAAAGCTTGGCTCCCAGGTAAGGGTGAAATGTCCTACACATGAACCTAACTTCTGCCAAGGAAGCCAGGCCACAACACCAGTTCCTGCGCTCCCATCTTCTCCTCAGCCGAGAAAAGCTCTGTGACAGCCCCACTCTAGGACTGGCCCTCCTGACAGGAGCAGCGTCTGCTCTGGGACTCAGAGGTCACTGGGAGAGGTAGGGAAGGACAGACCACTCTGTCTTCCCAGTGGGGTCCCAGTCCTCAGCACCCCTCACACATGTTCTCCTCTGGCAGCCTGAAACGGAATTTGGTCTGACTGTCATCTGGGTAGGAAAGGAAGGGCAAGGCTTACAAATGAAAACCCAGCTCTCCCAAATTACATTAAAACTAGCAATGCCACCTGTGAGTACTTTTCAGAGCCTGAAGCAGAAGGATTCCCTGCCAGGGCTGCCACTCTTCATTGCATCAGCCTGGGCAGAGCCTACACACAATGACACCTCCCCAGCCCAACCCAGTCCCCTCCTAGTGTTCCGCTTACCACGAATCTTCCCCACAAACCACCCGCGTGCAATCATCCTCTTGCTCTCACTTTTTCAAAGAAAAGGATTGCACAGACCAACTGCACTTCACAAACCAGAATCTAAGTAACAAAACAGGGTGACTGCAATGAAAGCTCAAAAGGAGCCCAAGGCCACAAAGAGCTCCAGGACCGTGAGGCTACAGAGGCGGAGTGGAGCTGGCCACAGACCTCATCATTCCGTCTGCCCCCTTCTTGCTTCACGCCTTTTGCAACAAACAGAAGCAGCTTCCTGAGAGAGAAGGGATAACCTGGGGAGAGCCCGACAGTGGGCCTCCAGGAGAGTTTTACTTCTCCCTAGAGCTTTTGCCCCAGGAAAGGAAACGAGGACCCCAACAGGGGAAGGACATGGTGGCACTCTTGGAAAGCAGAGCAAAATAAGCGTTTAGCAAGGCTAAGCGCCTCTAACCCAACACTTCTCAGGACCACAGGACCCCAGCCTTACCTCAGCTCCTGTGTTTTGTTTTTAAGATCTAGTCCCAAGGTGGAAGCAGGAGGATTGCAAGTCTAAGACAAGCCTGAGTAGCTTAGATGGTTTTGTTTTTATAAGGGCAGGGACCAGGGTGCTGAGACAGCTTAGTAGAACTCATCTAGCAGATACAAAGCCCTATATGTCCAGCAACGGAAGGGGGAATTATTATCTTGACAGTGATGACAGCTTCAAAGGAATACATATGGCAAAATGTATCAAATTTTTCTCTATAGATATGCAGTTTATTATACGTCATTTACATCTGAAGCTGTATCATTTTCTTCCGGTGCTGGGGATGGAATCAGGGTTTCACATGTGCTAGGTAAATGCTCTACCACTATGCTACCCCTCTAGTCCTCAAAATAATTCGGAGATGGACACAACTTAAGGTAGTATAATTCTAAAGCCCTTCCTGTTCCTAGCCTTGGGAGAGATGAGAGCAGGGGAAGTACGGCTAGAACCCCAGAGGACCACAGAGAAGACTGCACCTATGGTTCTGTCCATGCTGGGAAACAGCTGTTGCTCCCTCCTGCAGCTCCATTCTTCCATACCCTGAGAACAGGAGACAGCTACAGACTGGGCCCTGTCGGACGCACTGCCAGCCAGTCAGCCATGGTATCCAGTACCACCCGCAATCCAACATGAACCAGACCTTCCTCTGTTGAACTGGTTGCCACCAGGTAGTAGCTGCTGAGAACTAAATCCAAGACAATCCCTGACCCTGATCTATACCAAATGAGAGCAGCCAGAAGGGACTGCTGGTCTCATTAGGGCTCAGGTGGGCCCAGAAATAATCTTCTGCAAAGCTCCCAAGTAAGTCAGGTAGCACTGAGGCTTTGGAACACAGCCCCCATTTCACCCTGCCCTATGGAGCTAGTGGCTTTCCTACCCACTTGCTATCAGAGGGGCATGACAGTGCACCTGCTCCAAGCCCTCCCTACCTAACCCTACCGGCCCTACCTAACCCTGTCTCCGTGCCTTCGTATCCTCAGCACTGCAAATAGGGGGTACCCAAAGTCTAACAGAGACCTGGTAACTGGGTAGCCACCCAGGGAAGGCACCAGTCAGACCCAAGAGAGTGGGTGGGGCTCAAATGCAGTCTGAAAATGCTACCTTGTATGCACCAGCACATGCTAGGACACACCAGCACACACCAGGCTGGGTTCATATTAAGCATCCTCTTGCTTTACCCAATAGATTCCCAGCCACTCAAACCAGTTGCTCCCTAAAACCCGTGAGACCATGTGCCAGAATCCCTCTTCTAGAAGCCCACAAAAGGGAAAAACAACTGCCCTGACTTAAGCCCCTTTTAGGGCAGCATCTGTGTTTCAGGCACCTCTGTATCTTCCTGAGTAGAGACCAGCTTCCATAGCAGAGAGAGGGGCAAGTCACCTCCTCCAAGCAGGCACCAGCACTAGGCCTTAGAGCATAAAGAAGAGAATGCAGGGGCCAAGGGGAAAGCAGCAAGGCTGGCAGAGCAGTCACAAGGTGCAGCGTGTGCAGACAGCTAAGGTGAGTTGTAGACCCAGCTGCTAGGTGGCAAAGCCGGAAGGGATGGGTGGGCAGGTGGCTAACTCTCGGATGCTATATGAATGAATGGACACGTGGCAGGGCAAAAATATTCCAATGCAGAGCAGCAACATGCAGTCACGGCCAGAAGCCCCATCAGAAGAAAGTGTCTGGAGGGAGAGGATTCCAGAAGTCCACACTAGTGGGCAGAAATTATTTATGGATCACCTCTAAAAGTAGCTACCAGAGAAAGTGAGGCCCTAGCCTAGCCCACCCAGACTCACCTCTAGGTGGGCTCTACCCAAGACCGGAGAAAGCATGTCACCATCCAGCAGGTGCTCTGAGATCTGATTGCGACATCCAAAGTCCTAGAGATGGTGGAGATGAGAAAAATCAGCTCTGCCCTTGTCAGGGTCAGTGACTGCCAGCCTCTCAGGAAGGTGTGCACTGTGTCCTAGGCACCAAGCTCAACACGGGACACCTAATTAGGTTCTCAAAGCAGGCAAGATGATAAGGGAAGCAGAAGCAAACATTCCCTGTAGACAATAAGTGGAGAATGTGAAGATTTTTCTGATTTTTCTATATATTGGGTATTTTCATAGTATAATTATAGACAAAAACAACCTTACAAGACTGAAATGCTTATGCCCTCATGGATGTAGCTACAGGCTGCGGAGGACATGAAATTCGGCCCAGGACAAAAAGCTGGCAAGAAGGGGGCTGCAGGTCAGATAAGCCCTGGGCCTGCCTCTCTATGGCACATGCTGCACCGCATGGCTGTCACAGCTGTCTCTTTCTCCCCACCCATCCCATCCCCAAGCAGGGCAGGAGGTCAGCAAACCCAAACCCCCAAGTGGCTTGGAAATGAGGTTTGGTGGGCTTCTTCCAGCTCATTCCTTTCTTCTTTACACAGAGGTGGCTCTCTTTCTCTAGGCAATGGGATTCATTATCATTATCCAGAGTACTCTTGGGGACATGCAGCAGGTGCCCACACCAAGCCCAATTCCTCATTGCCCTTTGGCTGCCACAGGACCACACCACACCCCTTCTGAGCCAAAGATCCTGCTGGGCTTAGTAAAGGATTGTTATCCACAGTATTCAAATGGGGACAGTTCTGTCATCCCTGATGGATGGTGGGATGCCCAGAAAAGGTCTGGTCCTGCTGTTTCCAGCTGATGGGCATAGCAGCACACGGTGTCAGCTTTGGAGAGACCAGACCACTTGTTTCCAAGAGTTCAGTGAAACAGGTATCCATCATTGTCAAGTCTTTAGTTGGTTAAATAGGCTTTTTGTTGCTTTGTTTTGGGATTTGGATGGGTTTTGGTTTGTTCGGGTTTTGCCAATAATGGATTTTGGTTTTGTGGGTTTTTGTTTTGGTTTTGCGTGTTTGTTTTGATTTTTGTTTACCTTTCTAGCCTTTCTAGTTTGTGGGGTTGTCTTGGATTTTGATATTTTCCCTCCAGTTTGATTTCTACTTCTATCTAATGCAGCTGCCATCTGCTCCTGAAGCCCGTGGCTCAGTGTGGGGCCAAAGTACTCAGCTGTCTAACTCTTCTGTCCCCTCCTGTCTGCCCTGTTCATCCCTGACCCTCTTCCACTAATCCCTTCCCTTACAGCTGCCTCCTCCAAGCAGATGGAGGGGGACATGCAGAGGTACCAGTGGGCCAAAAGTAGCCGAATCTCCCCTTTAAGAATCAGACTTGGCAAATGGACTTGAGATCCAGCAGGCTAGATGAAGGTCCAGGACACAGAAATCATGGATGGCCTGGCAGTTCAGGAGCAGCCAGTCCTGGAGCCTCCTGGATATAACTGTTCTGCTAGGCCCAGGCAGCTCACACAGTGAGAGCGCTGACACTAGCACTCCGCAGTCTATGCTCTGCCTCGCTCCATTCCCACAGCAAGCTGGAGGGGGCAGAGCTACCCCTGGTAGAACTAGGCTGGGCAGTGGTGGCACACACCTTTAATCCCAGCACTTGTGAGGCAGAGGCAGCAGATCTCTGTGAGTTCAAGGCCAGCCTGGTCTACAGAGCAAGTTCAAGGACAGGCTCCAAAACTACACAAAGAAACCCTGTCTCAAAAGAGAGAGAGAGAACAAGATCTAATTTTGAGCCATGTGGTTAACATAGACAAGAATAATGGGTTAATATAAGTTATAAGAACTAATACAAAGCCTGAGCTAATGGGCCAATCAGTTTATAACTTATGGAGACCTCTGTGTAATTTTCTTTGGGACTTGCCGGCTGTGGGGTACCAGGCGGGACAGAAACCCCAACAAGCCCAGCCCTCATGTTACATAATTTTGAGGGTTAAGTGCCCCACTTTCCAGTTGTGTGACCACTGGTAAACTACTTCTCTGGGGGAAGAGAAACACCAGGCTCTCTCATACCGCCCCCCTGCGGCTCACTGCAACTCACCAGGCCAAGGAAAGACTTGGGAACAGAAGCCTCGGACTCTGAGAGCTGTGGGTCCTTCAAGTGTTCAAGGATCTCTGACTCCTGCAGGAACACATGACAGAGAAACACCTCCCAAGCTCAGGGATGCTATCCATGAATTCCCAGTTGGCCCATAGGGCCAACATAGGTCTAAGTCCAAGCCAAAAATCTACCCATTTTGAAAACTAACAGACATAAGCACCTATATAAGAACTGGGCTAAGTGCTGATGCTAATAGTGGACAACCACACACCAAATCAGAGTGGGATTAACAGGAAAGGGGAGCTAAGAATAGTGGAGACAGGAAGTCATCAGTATAGATGTTTGACACTATCTGAAAAAAATAAAGTGTATCTTAATGAGTATGCACACTCATGTGCGTGGGTATGTGTGTGTGCGTGCATGTGTGTAGAAGCCATAAGTCAGCTTCGATCCAAGTGTTGCCCTTCATGATGTTCATCCATTTTGTTTTGGGGACAGAATCTTTCGCTGGCCCAAAGTCCATTTGATCCGGCTGCCCAGTGAGCTCCAGGGATCCATCTATCTCCCCCTCCCTAGCACTGGGATTCTAAAATGCTCATCACTACACCTGGCTTTTAAGATGGATTCTGGGGGCCAAAGTCAGATCTTCATGTTGTCCAGCAAGCACTTTAAGGACTAAGCCATCTCACCAGCTCTGGAAGTGTCTTTTCCAGGACTTAGATACATTAGATACATTAGATACAAGCTCTTTAAATAAATTCCCTCACTGTCTAAATGAGGAGAGACTAAGGGTATGAAAAGCTATAATGCCAAAGGTTCTCTCTCTCTCTCTCTCTCTCTCTCTCTCTCTCTCTCTCTCTCTC